ATAATAATAATAATAATAATAATAATAATAATAATAATAATAATAATAATAATAATAATAATAATAATAACAATAATTTTTAATAAAAGTATTATACTTTGGAAGAAATTGTACATCGTCGTTTTTACCATCCCATCATTGAATCGGGGCTGATGATTACTACCACACACCAGAAACCACATTAGTGTTATCATCGATATCATCACCCAGTTATTGTTATATCTCTAGTTCAATCGCTCTTTCCCTCAATCAATCCGTTGATTATATTTTTATATTTTTCATTGGCGAGTCTTTGTACTTGTCTTTGTCCAAAATTTGATCATATTGTAACATCGTCGTGAAACGTAGAAGTTTACGTCAACTACTACTACTTTTATCATTATAATTATTTTATTATTCACATTCTCTCTGTCGATCATTTCCACAAATGACTGCGGAGTCATCTTAGTTTGAACTTTAAGTACCAATTCTGTTAACCCTTTTTTGCAGTGGCCTTGTGTCGTACATTGTTCTCTGTCCTGACCGCAACCCTACCTTTTTAAACCTGCACTTTGCGAACGGTTTGAAGGAAAATTTTCGAACACATTCTAAAGTTTACTCTATTAAAAATACCAAAAAAATACGATTTGCTCTGTCTATAGGAAATTCTTTATTGAACTTACTTTGAACAAAGACAATTGTGAAAATAGAACTAGATATCACTCTTCATACGCTGGATTAATTTCTCTAAGATTTAAGATATTTATATACAATAATTATACGAGTGGAATTTCCCAAACGGTATATTTTTCATCTCGTGTTGTACTCTATTGAATTAGAAATTTTTACGTCATTTTCGTTGGTTCGTCTCGTTAATTATATTCATCTCGTTTTTGTCCCGTTCCATATCTTAGAAACCTCTTATATATATATACACACAAATAGAATAATAATAATAATATATAGAAAAAATGGGTGATCAAAATAGAAACAATATCAGAGTAGTGTGTCGTTTTCGACCTCAAAATAAACGTGAAAACGCAGAAGGTGGTGTTCATATCATACATTTTGAAGATGGATGTGACGACACTGTTCGAATGGAAGTGAGTATATTTCATGACTAAATATCAAAGAATGAGCGTGGATTGTTATAATAGAAATCAATATTTCTTCGAAACATGCATAATTATAAAGAATCAAAGATCAGATAACAAATGATTGAGTTTCGGGTTTATTTAATATCAAACTTTTTTACTCGTTCGAATGGATGTCCGATAATCCTAAAAAGCTCTTCTATATATGCCAAAAAGCTTTAAATCATTTTTTCTACAAAAATTGCGCGAATACTAAATGAATATCATTTAATTTTCTCAATTTAAAGGGTAAAGAATACCAAGGAAACTTCACCTTCGATGCCATCTTCCCCACAGAAACATCCCAAAAACAGGTGTTCGAGCATTCAATTAAACCTATTGTCGATGGTACGTGTAATCTCTTATCCCCAAGAGATGGATCAGCACTTTGAACCACGTTATAAAACATAACTAATATCATGTCGTTTCATCCCATTAAATAGACGTTATCGGAGGTTACAACGGAACTGTGTTTGCTTATGGTCAAACTGGTTCTGGTAAAACATTTACAATGATGGTTAGTATTACCGATTTAATAGATAATGCATTATCATCTCTATAATTAATTAGCTATTGCTAATCTTGTTCATTCGCTTTATATATATATATATATATCTTATTTAGGGTGCCGATATTGATAACGAAGAATTAAAGGGTCTTATTCCGCGGATTGTCGAACAAATTTTCCATGATATACTTTCATCCCCATCAACAATGGAATATACCGTTAAAGTCTCATATATGGAAATTTATATGGAAAAAATCCGTGATTTATTAAATCGTTAGTAACCATTCTAACTCATAATGTTTTTGGTTCCATCGAGTCTGCATGTTAGAAATTGTAAATAACCACATATATATTTTTTTTATCTAGCACAAAATGATAATCTTCCTATCCACGAAGAAAAGAATCGAGGTGTATACGTAAAAGGTCTTTTGGAAGTATACGTCAGCTCAGTATCAGAAGTCTACGAAGTGATGAAACGTGGTGGAAATGCTCGTGTGGTTGCTTATACCAGTAAGTAGGATATAGCTTATAGCCATCCGATATAAAAATCATGAATCGAATGTTAATTAAATTTCTTTATCCTTAGACATGAATGCCGAATCTTCTCGTTCACATTCAATTTTTGTTATTACTGTCAATCAAAAAAATCTTGCTGATGGAAGCGTCAAAAGTGGAAGACTGTCACTTGTCGATTTGGCTGGTTCAGAAAAAGTAAGCTTTTGTTGCTTTTGACTTGAGAATCTTTGGTTGATTGAAGTAAACACCATAACAAACGTTAACTATATAACAAATAGGTTGGTAAAACTGGTGCATCTGGTCAAACCCTTGAAGAAGCCAAAAAAATTAACAAATCACTGTCAGCTCTCGGAATGGTCATTAACGCCTTGACTGATGGCAAAGTAAGAATCATTAACATATATGTTGATATCTTTTCATAATAATATATTTTAACGGTATTTTTATACTCTTATTATTAGTCTACTCACATTCCTTATCGAGACAGTAAATTGACTAGAATTTTGCAAGAATCTTTGGGTGGTAACTCTCGAACAACTCTCATTATCAATTGTTCGCCATCTTCATTTAACGAAGCCGAAACTCTAAGTACATTGAGATTCGGTATGAGGTGAGTAATAACAAATCCTTATGCTACTCTTCGTTCTTTATAAATTTACTTTATCGTTAAAGTATGATCATCATTGTTAATTTACAGAGCCAAGAGCATCAAGAATAAGGCAAGAGTCAATGCTGAGCTCAGTCCTGCCGAACTCAAGGCTTTGTTGAAAAAAGCCAAAAACGAAGCAGTATCATTCCAACAATATATTAGTGCGTTGGAAGGAGAAATTGGAATATGGCGTTCAGGTGGCACTGTTCCTAAAGAAAATTGGGCGTCATCAGATAAAGCAGCAGCCGGAACGGTTGCACCACCTACACCCACAACTCCTGCCGCTACGGGACCGCCAAATCCTGCAGTTGAAGCAGCCAAAAAAGAACTTGAATCACGACCAAGTACACCAGCTCCGATATTAGAGAAAGATGAACGCGAAGAATTCCTTAAACGCGAGAATGAACTTATGGATCAGATCGCCGAGAAAGAATCAATTTTGGCTAAACAAGAGAAATTACTTTCAGAAATGAAAGAAGAACTAGGCTACTTCAAAGATCAAGAACAAACAATCACAAAGGTAGATGTCTATCTCTCTCACTATCTATCTTATTATCTACCTATCTATGATTTATAGATTGATGATTATATACAAACATATGATTTACATTTCTAATAATATTTTTTTTAATACAAATAGGAAAATAAAGAGATGGCAAGTGAACTAAGTGAACTTAAATTACAACTAGAAAAAGTCACATACGATAACAAGGAACAAATTATCACAATCGACAGTCTTCGTGAAGGTAATCAGGAGCTAAGTAATGAACTTGAACAACTCAAGGTTAGTAGAATTTTTGTATTCCAGAAAACTTTTTTGGAATTTTGACTTGGAATAAAAGGCAATAAATAACATCTTAATCCTTCTTTATAGAAAAATCTTGTTGAGCTCAAAATATCGCAAAAAGAGGGAGACAAAGAACAAAAGAAACAAGAGAAAATGGCTCAAATGTTGGCAGAATTTGACCCTTCAGGAGTCATTTCTGCTAAAGAGAAACAGATTCGTGAGGCACTTAGTAAACTGGACTCTTTTGACGGAAGTGGGTCCGTTACCCTCACCCTGGAAGAGCTTGCAACACTTCGACGTGAATTAGCAGATTCAAAGAGTTTGGTTTCTCAGCATGAACAGACTATCAGTGAACTACATTATGAAAACGAACATTTAACAAGAAAGAGAGATGAACTCGAGGTTCGCTTGACAACTTTGGAATTAGAATATGAAGAATTATTAGGTTAGTTAATTAGTTGTTTATCATGTGATTTCAGTACACGTTCTTCATTTATTTTAGTTTATTTACACTTTATTCCATATTTAATAAATAGATAAGACAATTGCTGATGAGGAAGCAAATAGTAAGATTGATATTACAGAGACGATACAAGAATTACGGGTATATATTCTATTATCATCGATATTGGGACCCTTTGTGTCATATTGATTAATGTATAACGATTTACTGTTTATAGGCGAAACTCGAGGGTCAATACTCGGCAAAGAAAGAAGTTCAACAAAAGGAGATCGAAGAACTAAAACAAGAACTAGAAAAGAAGAACGAGGAATTACACAAACTAAACAGGTTCACATCATCATCGGTTTTATTCATTATTATACAGTTGACTCTCTTTATAATAAATTTTTGGAAAACGTGTGAAAAATTTACTATAACGAGAGTTCTTGATAAAATACAATATAATAAAGTTACGTGTTTTTGAATTTTCAAGAATTATTATAACGAAATTTTATTATAACAAACTTTATTATAAAGAGAGTCAACTATATTACTTTATGTTTATGCAGACAATTAACAAATATATTCCTATTAATTTAGTGCCCTTGGAGAACTAAAGAGAGCTAACGAAGAGCTACAGGTAATACTCTTTCCGACATATGATGATACGGTGAGATTAGTAAATATATCAGAGCTATGTTGTTCACTTAATAACTTTGACCTCATCACTTTTAAATTCAGACTGCGATAACAGAAAAAGAAACCCGCATTGAGGGCCGCAAAGACACAGCCGAAAAAGAAAAAGATATGGAACGCATCCGCAAGACAATGGCCCAACAATTGGCCGATTTCGACGTCATGAAGAAAGCTTTGATGCGTGACTTACAAAATCGTTGCGAAAAAGTTGTTGAACTTGAGATTTCATTGGATGAAACCCGAGAACAATATAATAATGTTTTACGTAATAGTAATAACAAAGCTCAACAAAAGAAAATGGCCTTTTTGGAAAGAAATCTGGAACAGCTCACAAATGTGCAGAAACAGGTGAGCTATCATTATTATTCATTGTTGTTGAGTATATGTTAATCCTATTTACTATTGTTGACAATAATATGATGTTTTTTTAAAAATAAATAGCTTGTTGAACAAAATTCATCGCTAAAGAAAGAAGTTGCTATAGCAGAACGAAAACTTCTCGCACGAAATGAACGCATTCAAGCATTAGAAGCATTATTGCAAGATGCTCAAGAGAAATTAACGACACAAAATCAAAAGTAAGCATAACATATATTATTTATTTTTGAATTATTATATTATTGTTATATAATCATTTTCTTTTTACCTTTTTATAGATTCGAGGCACAATTACAAGCAGTCAGAGAACGATTAGAACAAGCACGATGTAAGCGTTGAGTACTTTTAAAAAGATATAGTTAACATTATGAATTTGCTTAAACTTGTAATATTTTTCACTATTTCTAGCACAAAAAACCGCCGGTATGGGCCTAGGTTTCGGCCGAATTGCCAAGCCCCTCAGAGGACTGGGACCTCAATTAGAGACCAGTGCCATTGGGTATGACATTCATAAAAAATAATAGCCGTCCGAAGAATATTTTATTGACTTATTTACCACCTGTCCAGTGTCGATTATGTTGGTGGATCACCAACAGGAAATTCGTTTGGTAAGATGATTATCCCTCATACACATGAATCAACCCGTGCCCGGATCTCATTACGTCACTGGAAATATAAACGGCGGCGATACAGGTGTTTCTTTCTTTGCCCAGTGACGTAATGAGATCCGGGTACGGGAATACCTGTTTTGCAAATTATTATTAGAAGTTTAGCGGTTTATATTTTTGCGAGAAATAATATCAAAGATTGAATCCTAATCATTATTATTATTATTATTTTCTTTGTCAAAGTGTCAACGCCGGGCAGGATCGAACGTCGGACATCATGGCTTTCAGGCTTCCGATAATAAGACATACTAAATATCATCTACCACCACATATAATTCACATTCACGCTCTTTCTTGTTATTATAATCCTTTTCTTCCTCTTATCGGTGTTCTAAAGCATCATCATGTAGTTTTTTGTAGTTTTCTAGTATTGTCACTTTTTTAAATTTTATTTATTTCCTCTTGGTTCCTTTTTATTTTATTTCTTAGGGTACTAGTAGTAACGGAAAAATGAATTCAACAGCTGTATCATCTTCATTTTTTGGGCTTTATTAAACATTTTGGATTTCTTGGATATTTTATAAGATATTTTTCATTTTTAAAATATTTTTTTATTGTATTTTTTCTTTCTTTTTACAAAATTTTTTTTATAATATTCAAAAAGGGATTTAGCTCTATGCATTGTATTTTTTTTGGCTCTTCTGATTTTACCGAATAGAGATATTCAAATCAATAAATATATATAATATCAAATAAATTTTTATTTTTGGGCAGTTTATTATTAGACCTGATCTTCAAAATCCCTTTGTTCTTCATAGCAAGCAAAACTTATATGGAAAGGCAATTAATTGGTTGGTTTGTCTACAGTATCAAAAGTTGTTGGAAGAGTCCTAGTTGTTAAAATCTACGAGTTTATTGCTAGGCTGTATCCAGATAACATTTGTAAGACAACCTAGAAGTTCATTTTATGACATAGATGATGACGAAAGATTCATTCCGAAAAGAGCAAAATGACCTATTCTACCATCCAAGGTCGCCAAAATTTGGCATTCACTATAGTTTAAATTATTGGTTGACTATAATAAATGGCACGTGCATTTTTTATCGTTATATTTTAACTCGAAGATTGTGAAGATTCACCAATAAAGTTACAGATTTTTTCCATTTCCACAAAAAATTTATCTACGCCGCCTATTTTCCGTTTATGTATTTCCATTTTTCCCGTTTCCAAAAACTGTTTACCCAATACAATATTCCATGGGTATCCAATTAATTCGGCGTCTTTCATTCGATAACCCAAAGACCCAGCACGATCGTCAATCACAACATCATCTCCTGCTATTCCCAAATCAGTTGTTGTTCGTTGTGTGCTCAATAAATCAAAAGCTCGATTAACAGCCTCAACCACTTTCTCTTCCCTGACTCCGGGAATAATACAAACACAATAGGGTGCAATATTTTTCGGCCACACGATACCCAACGAATCATGTGATATTTCAATAATTGCTGCGAGCATGCGCGTTAATCCTAGTCCGAAACATCCCATTTGGATTAGGCGGCGTTCACCTGGTGTCGTGGGATTTTCTGGGGCGAATGTCGCATGTAATGGCTGAGAGTATTTAGCCCCAAGTAGAAAAGTATGACCTACCTCGATTGCTCGGTTGCTTGTTAACGGCTCGAAATTGTGTGTCGGTGCAATAGAATGAAAATGTAGTGCACATTTCGGGCACCCATCCCCTTGTTTAGTGTTGTGAAAATCACCGCTATGAATGCTAATGTTATGAGGATGATGATGAACACCCAAATTTTTTAATCTTGGTGTGACTTTTTTCAGAATATCACTGGTTATATGGTCTCGCGAGATTGTGAAAAGTTCATCATTAATCGGTCCAGTAAATGTATGGTCTTTAAATATATGTACGACCGGATCTTGTTCGCTATCATCGATAGTTATTAACTTGTAAGCTCGAACAGGATCCACAATTCTCACGGCATGATCTCCGCTACCCCATCTTAATTTGATAGAATTAACTTCGCGTTCAGGACCTAATAAAATTATCGCCAAATTTTTATTCTCGGTTATCCCGAATCGAATTGACGAATCTTTGTCGAGAGAGGATGAAGCGTCTGGTGGGTGAGGAAGAACTCCTATTGCCTTTTCTTCGTTGGCACTATATCCACATTTGGAACATGTTAATATTGTGTCTTCGCCAGCTAAGATAGTTTTAAAAGGAGTTATAAACAGTAAGAAGTTTATCTTCAATGGGATTTGCAATCTTTCTTTTACGAATCACCTTTTGATAGAAATTGAAATTCGTGTGAACGAGTGCCACCAATATTTCCAGGATCTGCTTCCACCTTTAATAATTTTGTATTTAATTCGAAATAAATTTACCATTCTCCAGTCCCAAAAAAATAAAAGCTCTACTCACTATAACAAACGGTAATCCAATCTTTCCAAAAATTCTTTTATAAGCCTCCAAAACCTGTTCATAAGACTGCAACGCGGTTTCTTCACTCGTATCAAAAGTATACAAATCCTTCATAATAAATTCGCGACCACGTAATAGACCGAATCGTGGACGCATCTCGTCTCGATACTTTCTACCTTGAAATTTAAAAAAAAAAAATAGCCGAATTAAGAAAACAAATCCACGTTTATAAATATTACGGGAAAATACCAATTTGAAATAATCGTAAAGGAAGATGCCGGTACGACGAAACTTCATGTGCAACTAAACGTGTAATTTCTTCTTCGTGAGTTGGCGCTAAACAGAAATCAGATTCTTTTCGATCTTGAAGTCGAAAAAGCTGATCAGATATATAATTATTAATTAGTTTTACTCCAATTAAAGTCCATCCCGAGATAGTTAATTATAATATTAACTTCACTAGCTGCCGTTTCCCATCTACCCGTTTGTTTCCATAGCTCGGCACTCAAAAGATTTGGTAACGATAGTTTCTGTGCACCTATTTATTTGTAAATTACAGCAATGATCAATTTAGCAATATCGTAATTTGGTTTCGATTTTAAGAGTGAATTAAAAGAATTCAGCTGATAATTAATTACCAATATTAACCATTTCATATTCAATTATTTTTTCCAATTTTTCTAGTGCACGTAACGCAAACGGTAAAAGGGAATAAATCCCTGAGGATGACTTTTAACAAATAAATGATCAGAAATCTCTAATGCTAAAACCAGAAACGAAAAAAAATAGATTCTCAAATTCAATAAAAACCTGTCGTATTAATCCAGCACGAATCATTAATCGATAACTGTCATTAACAATGACATCATTATTCTTTTTATCTTCGCTAACCTTTGGCGTCGTTGACTGTGGCGATGATGATGATGATGGTGATCCTATTACAGGATCTTTGGTAGTTGGTAGAAACATTCTTGAGAGACAAGTTCTGGTTCCATGTGGATTATTAATATAGTCATGGTGGTAACGATGGTGCTGGCTAGATTTAGCGTGCGCCTTTATCACATGAGATTAGATATATCGAATGTAAGAAAATTCACATAGGAAACAAATAACAAGCAAAAGAGTAAATGTTTTAGCTTATAACGCGCGTGAAATTCTTTAAACACACACAGAGTAACATAAAGTTCTACGTTGTTGTCTTGCTGCTTTCACTATATAATTTCTTATTCTTTTTCTTTGTTGTCTTAATAATGAAACCGAAAATGTACTATTATAGTCTTGAGCCCTCAGCAGTAGTATCATGATGCATGAAAGTCGAGAAATAACGCGTCTCCGGCGTTTATAAAAAAAAACTTGTTCTAGAATATTTTATTGATCTTATCATAATTACACAATAATTTTTTAGATTCTGATCTAAAAACGCGTCGCCAAATAGGAGTCTTATCCGTCTGATTGTATTGTATCGGGATTTTGTTTCCGATATTATTTAAAGCTCACTTTTTCGCCAGTTACTATTATGTGTATTACTATAAGATGGCGACTTTATTAAAGAAAATGAAAAATTTGAGGTTTTCGCATTCGCAACGACATTTTTCAGCGGCATCTTTACATTTTTCTAAAAAAAATAAAGCCGCTGAGCCTTTTTATGCTTTACTATCTCGAAATTTCGATAAAATCCTTACTAGTACCAATGTTCGTTCAATAACAATAAAAGGACGCTTATATAGTACGAGACCAGACATTGCAGTAAAAAAAAGTAGCAATGGTATGCTTTCATGAAAATTACGTATAATAAAATATAATATTATTAACTTAATAACGAGAATCAAGCCTACTATCAATGTAAAAAAAAATATTCATAAAATCTGAATTCCCATAAAATTTCTCATTCAATAAAAAATATAAATAAAAAAGAACGTCCAAAAATCACAATTAACACTCTACGAACACTCTACAGCCAACGAGAACCAATTACAATGTTGACCGCAACAAATTATCCGTCCGCGGTATTTGTCGAAAAATCGGGCATCGAAATCTGCCTTGTCGGTGATTCGTTGGCGATGGTTGAATTGGGCTACGAGTCTACAACTCAAATTACTATGGATGTATGCATTACTCTGTGTGTGTATGCGATTTAATGAGTTATTAAATTGATTTATTGATTATGTACAGGAAATGCTTCATCATTGTAAGGCTGCTGCTAGAGGCGCAAAATCACCGTTTCTTGTGGCTGATATGCCTTTTGGAAGCTACGAAATGGGATCATTAGATGCGGTGAAAAATGCAATTCGGTTTATTAAGGAAGGAAATATGGAGGTATTTTGGAACCATGAATATTCTTTTTTTTGTTAATAATTTATCGTAATATCTTGATGGTTTTGTGCAGGCGGTAAAATTAGAAGGTGGTATCGAAATTGCGGAGACTATTCAAAAAATCACCAGTATCGGTATTCCAGTCATGGGTCATTTGGGATTAACCCCACAACGTCGAACATCGTTAGGTGGATTCCGCGTACAAGGAAATACTGCAAAAAAAGTAAGTTGTCATTTAGACAGCAAACACATAAAAGGTCAACTATAGTAATAATCATAATCATTTAGGCACTAAAATTGCTCGAGGATGCAAAAGCGCTTCAAGAAGCTGGTTGTTTCGCTCTAGTTCTCGAAGCTATTCCCGAAATAGTGGCTGCACATACAACAAACAACTTAAAAATACCAACTATTGGGATCGGGGCAGGTGTACATACCAGCGGACAGGTTCTAGTTCAACAAGATATGCTTGGGATTTTTGATCGTTTCGTGCCTCGGTGAGTGTGTATTATGCGTATTTTCATACTAAACAAAGCACTATATCACTAACAGTTCTACATGATGACAGGTTCTGTAAACAGTATGCATCACTCGATAATACCATCGTAGAAGCATTGAGATCTTATCGAGATGAAGTTAAGACTGGCGTTTTTCCCGCTAAATCCAATTGTTATCCAATGGCAGAAACTGAATTGAAAAAATTTATGGAATGCAAAGAATTATCGACAGGTACCCATTAACAATCTTAGAAATATGATAATGACAAAAACAATTTTTAATAGAAGCACATTACAATTAATTAATTATTAGAAAATGTTTTAGGTATGTATAATTATTCGATTTAATTTGCCAAAACCAATATTTTTTTCAGAAAAATTCATATCATTAAGATGACGCCATGAAATAAATAAAAGAAAATCTAATCCAAGAGTGTAAGACACCAATCGCACAATAAACCGACGTCGCAAGAAGTGGTAGAAAAGGATATCTATCTTGGAACACAAGCTGGTGCACAATTCCAGTAAAAAATTGCAGTACGATGAATCCGCACAAGTATATATTTTCCAGAAAATTAATAAATGATCCAATTCGTGTGATCCAGGTCGATATTCTTGAAGATGGCTGGCCATTATTATTACTATTTATTTTTTAATTATTTAATTTAATGAAATTAGTTTAAATTTGCTTTCGAAATAGATTATTTTATTATTTTCATAATTCAATATTAATTAATACCTTTGAATAATATGAGATAACCCGAAATATGTTACAATCATCCAAATTAATAATACTGAGAATTTTATTGCCGATTCTGACACAAATGAATAATAAATCTGATAAATATAGTGAATTCAAACTTGAGAATAAATCAAGAAAGACAATTAATTATATATAACCTGTCACTCTAAACAGCAAAGGGAACAACGAATACAATCCCGACGCCGAAAGAATGATGAATGTACGATAATGTAAGTGGCTTTCACTTGCTATTAAGCTATGGTGAAGTAGATCACAGAAATAATTAAAAAATGTATGACCCTTATTTTAATATTGCTCGGGTAAAGGAAAAATCATGATAATTTACCTGAAAGGAATTAACACCAATAAGATGGCTTTTTCGTGAACATGCCAACCAAATAGAAACGATGCGAATCCACAATGAATCAATGAGCCGAGGAAATTAAGGAATTTTGGTTGTCGCCATAGTTTTGTTAATGCTGTCTTTAAAATTATTTTATATAAAGAGAAAGAGTGTGTGTCAGGTTTATTAAAATTAAAAAACGATAATAAAAATAAATACCAACAATTTGAAAAATGAGCGTCATCACAAAAGTAACGTTTGGCTTAATGTTTGGTAACACAGCGAAACTAACGTCGCCTACTAAACCTCGTGTGATAGAAGCGAGAGAATCTTCATTTAGAGTCCAGCCAAGCCATTTACCAACTATCAATTAAGTTAAAAGATGAGGACAATACATACATTCTAAAGCAAAGCTTTTTTGAGATGTTAAATCGACTATTTAATTGACATTACCTATGATAAGCGCGCGATCCATCAGGGAATATAAAGCCCAAAAGTTCGGTGCCCAATATGCATGACATAGACCCCGAGTAAACGGGAACAAGCGTGAAAGAAGTTGAGCCAATTGGCCCATATAAATAAAAGGACCGAAAGAAATGCAGAAGATTGTGGCTACGGATGCTCCGAGAATCACAAAATTCCGTATTGAAAAACTCTGATCTAATAATATAATAATAATAATGAGCCATCATTCTAAAGAGATTCGATGATTTCCAATTATGATGATCAGTACCTCTGGTTCCCACGTTTTGAAAACAATAGTTTCGCAATAAATAAACAAAATAGGCAGGTGCAAGATACAGGAATATATGTTTGAAATTAAGTAAAATGGCGAAAAGAATACCGGATTTAAGATCTTCTCCCTGTCATTATAATAATAAATCAATGAATAAATCGAATTAAAGAAATCGATTAAGGAAAGAAAAATTTGTGATATATACTTTCTGAGCATAAATAATCGAAAGTAAAAGAAGTCCAAAAAGGAACCCGTTATACTGGAAATGGATATGTGTTTAGTGAATTGTCAAGGAAATGCCAGATTATTTAATCTCATTCAATGACTCAATGATTAGACAGAAAAAACAAAATAATTTGTAAAAGGATATGGTCAACAATTATCAAACCAGGGTTCAAAAATATCGAAGCAGCTATAATGCGATTTCGTACAAGGTGGCTTTTATTTCCCCATATTTGCAAAAATCTTTGTGGTATTGATGGGTGTCAAATCGTAGTTGTTGTCATCATTGATGAGCGTACAATGGTGAAGGTTATTTATTGAAGAGATGATTGTTAGTTAATGAACACTCATTTATTATCACGGGATAAAGTGTTTGCTGATTCTATTTATGGATAAAAAGAGTAAACGACGATACTTCTCGGGAGATTAATACTATTTGATATAATGGCATGATTTACGTATTGGAATAAGATCGAATTTGAAAACCACATGTTGATATTTTCATGTTCACGCGAATGGATTTGACGAACAATTAACTGCTTACTTTTCCAATGCAAAGAACAAAACAAGTTCACTTATTATCACAGTCATCCGTTGAAATAGAACTGTATCGCGACTTGTATAATCAAGATTTTCCACGCGTAGCATTTCATGGTCATCTGAGAAAAAGGAAACCCATTGTGATAAAAACCATTCGAAATATGCAAAGAACGGTGGATAATCTAACGTCCATTCGCTCGTGTTCTATATAGCGACACAATTAATAATAATATAATAATAATAGAAAATTAAAGACTTTATTTTAGTTACCTCAGTATACCATTTTGATAGTGGAAGACTGTGAGTTATTGCTAACCAATTTCTATGAACTTCAAAATCTGTTGAACGACTTTTTTTATTAGGTTCGCGTGTACAAGAGACGCGAATAAAAATAATTGTCTTTGATAGTTATTTTTGATTTTATTTTTTTTCATTGATAAATTTTTGGTATTCAAGCAATGAAGCTGTATAATTTACATAAACTTACTATGCTGGAAAAAGCAAAACTTTAATTATGGTGCTAAAGATAAGTAATTTTGTTTGCATAATTTAAGTTTAACATTTGATATCGAGCGAAACAATTGCTTCATTAAATTGTCATGTGACTTATTTCGTTGTGCCGTCTTCCCTTGTAATGTAACATAATATAACATAAATGGGGGTTGACTATCGCCTTTGTTATAGATGCGTTTCAACGTTAACAATATTAATTTCTTATTTTGGCAAACAATTCGCAATTTCTGAATTACAAGTTCTAACAAAATGGGTCAAATTATTTCAAATTTGTCCTCCGAGCAAAATGTCGAAGCTAAATATCGTCATTATCGTAATTTAGCCGGAGAACAAGCAAGAATCCGCAAACAAGTATCTGCACAAGCTCAGATAGCATACAAACATGGAGATGGAAAAAAAGCCAAGGAATTATCGAATAAAGCAAAAGAACATTATAAGGAAATGGAAAAGTATAATAAATTGGCAGCGGAAGTTATTTTTCAAGGTAATTCAGAAACAAAAACTTAAATGATTTGAAAAAAGTATTAGAAAAAGGAATTGTTGCATAGGAAGTTTTAAGTGAATTATAGGAAAATATAAGAGAGAAATTATAGAAATTAGTTGATAGAAAGGAGAGAGGTGCTCAGGTATTGAAAATTTATAATAAAATTTATTTGATACGCGTATTTATTTATCGACTTAATATAATTAGCTTTATATTTTTTAATTATCAAATTCTACATATTGACATTTCTTTTCTCTTTCCTCCTTATTCCGTTTAAAAAAAAAAAAAAGAAAAAAACAAAAATCGAAGTTACCAAGAACTAGACTTGCACGGTCTCTTTGTCACAGAAGCGCTAGCATACACGGAACAACGCATACAACACTGTAAATCAATGAAAGCTAAAAATTTAGTGATTATAGTCGGCCAAGGAAACCATTCAATTGATGGAGTATCGAAATTAAAACCCGCGGTTACAGAATTAATTAACAAATATCAGATTCGATGTACGCCGAATAAACCTAACCCTGGTTGTCTGTTTCTAGAGTTTGATCAAGGAAAAGGAGATTTATCGTGGTTCGACCGATTGTTTGGTAGTGCTGAGAGTGGTTGTGTGATCATGTGAAGGAAGAAATATTTGTTATTTATTTATTTATTGTCTTAACGTAATAATACTTTTTGTATAATAATGACAACATACGTATAACGTAATATATAGATTTTTTTTGGTTTCACAACAATGAAGCCTGTTCACTGATTGGCTCTGCATATATCAAATTTTTTTGCTGGTGTTTTTCATCAATACTACAATGCTGGATAGTGAATTGGTAATTGACAAACCCATTACAGTTGGATTTTAATTTAAAAGAAATGATTGATTATTATAAATAAATCTTTGCGATATCAGGTCGAAAAAGCAGTTGAAGCTCTATTAAAATATGTCTCGTCAAAGACAAAAACAGAACAAATCGACGACGAGGAGATAGAACGAAAGAAAAATTTACTACAACGACAGCAAAGTTTAATACCAAATGTTGCAACAGTCTGGCTACAAGTTGCCACACATCGATTTTCACAGCTGTCAAAGAATATGCCTGTAAAATTGTGGGTATTAAGGAGATTTTGCTCCTTTTATTTGAATGAGTGGATTAAATTTATATTCATTTTCTAAAATTATAATTCTCAAGACCATTGAAACATCCGCTCTATGGACCCGATACAGAAATTTGCTTGATCACTAAAGATTCGCAAGAGGTCAAAAAGTTGTTGGTCGAGAAAGGAATAAAACGGGTCAATAAGGTACGTGTATACAGTCATGACTATTATCACACTTTTCAGACTATTCGTAATTTATTATTACCATTTTTTTTTGAAACTACATAATTAATTACATGAAGGTGATTGGCATCTCTAAACTACGTACAAATTACCAGCAATACGAAGCACGAAGAAATCTTTGTGATTCCTACGGTCTATTTCTAACTGATGAACGTGTAATTCCGTTGCTTCCTAAGTTACTGGGAAAATATTTCTTCAAAAAGAAAAAGTAAGCATTTTTTTAATTTCTCACGTGTAATGTAGGTTTTTCATGACTACTTAAATAATCAATGATTACTTTTAATAACTATTAATTATAAAAGACAACCGATACCAGTGAATTTAAAATCTGCTAAGGTAAAAGATGAAATTGATCGAGCATGTAATTCTACTTATTTGCATATCACTCCTGGGAATTGTTAGTAAGTATATCAATTATCATTATCATTATCATTGTTGCTATTATGATTATATTTAAATTTGATTAACATTAAAATTAGTTCAATAAAAATCGGCAAAACGACAATGTCATCTCGCCAGCTCTACGAAAATATCATGGAAATAGTACCACATTTTGTCGAAAAAATTCCAAGAAAGAAACGAAATATTAAAGCTATTGGAGTAAAGACTGATAACTCGGTGTTTCTTCCGATTTATAATGATCTTTTAGTTAACAAATAATAATGGCGTCGTCACGGAGAACTAATTTTTATTAACAAATAAAAAATAAAACTGTTTAAATTAGGCATCAATAATAGCAATTTCCTTTTCATTAAATGCACTTTATTTAAATTGTATGTCTTGATTGCAGCCAATATATGAATTAGACATAATAAAGAGAATGCTAATATCCTTATGGTAAATTATATCTTTATGAAGTCGTCTTTTCATATTTAATATTGACAAAACTTGTTGCTATTTTACTTGAGAATATCAGGATGTTATTGTATGCTATTATTGTTATAATTATGTTATTATAGCTATTGTTGGTAGCAAATTGTTAAAAACTTATAAAAAACAATAGTTAATATCAATATACAAAAGTAATGAATGCATCATCCAAATTATAAATGTTTAAATGCTAATGATTTTCATGTAATAAATAAAAACAAATAAAATATATTGTTACCGTTTCCGTTGATTTATTAACTTTCAAGTATAGATCACGTGTTCTTCACGTGTATCAATTAAGTGGGAGAGTTATTAAAGGTTTTTATGTGTATTTAAAGTAATTAAGGTTGGGAAAGACTAATTTAATAAAGGTAGGTAACGACGTGTTTGTTTTGTTGAACTGCTAGAATGAGTTCAGAAACCTTCTTTTGATTTAAATGATTTAATTGTTAAGTAATCTTCTTTTATTGATTAATTTTTATTAAAATTATCTTCTTCTTTTATTATAAATCTAAATAATATTAAT